TGTCCCTGCACCTGCTTGCAGGTGGTATAATCTGCTGAGCTATTTGGGTGGCCTTACAAATTTTTTAAGAAAAATATGTATAAGAAACTGGATTACTAGTTTATTAACATAGTACTTTAATATTCATTCATTTCAACTATCACATCCAAAACAAGATTTGAGTTAAATTAACTCAATGGCAATGTAAACATTCAAGCACAGTGAAATTTATTAGCATTGATAGAAAATTCCTGTCTAAATGAAGACTCTTTCGCAACACGAAAGAGCCTTAAGTTTGAACAGTTACAATTTTGGAATAAGTACAAGTGGGATTGGCTCTTGGGTTGCTATTTGAAGTTCTAAAAGAGATTGGGAAGGAAATATGTTTTAGGCTGATATCTAAATTTATTCCCTCCTTACTCATAGGAAAGGAGATCAAACAATGTCAGGTTAACAAAAAATTATGTTATGTTAACCAGGTCATTAAAAGATGATTTCAAGTTGAACAGAAGCCAGTATTTGGAAAGCCTAGCACATAAATGCAGACATAACTTTGTTACAAGTACACAAGTCGGGGGTTGGGGGAGATAGCCCTACAGTTTCTACCTGCCCAAGTCTACAACTTCAGCCTACTAGGATCCTGTTGACAGGGTCTAGGGAATTGATTGGTCTAAAAAACAAATGAGTACTGAGTTAGAAAAGACAAGCCCTGGATGAAGAAATGGATGAAATGAAAGAAGGAAAGAAGATATATTTCAGTGTACATGTAGAATAGTTTGGATAATTGTATTGTCGATTTCTGTTGATCTTTTGAAAGAAACATTTAATGCTTTTTTTTAAACTCAGATTTTTTTCCCTCTCTTGAGTTGCTTATAACATCTTTCTTATGGTTTTTTTTTAAAATGAATCTTACACATTTATATATGATAATATAAACAACTAATTTGAAGATAGCATTATATAATACAGCAACCATTGTTGAATTCCTGTTACTTTGTTTAGTTAAATGTTGTACGGTTTTTAAAGCTATTTTTTTTTCTTTATATCTCTATTTTATGCTTTTAAAAGCAAAGACAAGCCCTGGACAAAATCTTCTTTCAAAAATCTAAGGGGCCAGGGATATAGCTCAGTAGAATAAGCACTTGCCTGTCAAGCTCAAGGGCCTAAATTCAAACCTCAGTTCTGAAAAAAAAAAGAAAGGAGCAGATTTTCAGACAAGGTAGTTACTTAGCACTGAGACTGAAAGCAATGCTAGAAGTGGTTATAACCTTTTTATTAGAATCTCTTCAAAATTGAATGGGATTCCTTTGGTGAATAAGGGCCACTTAGTGAACCCTTCTCTTTAATTCACTAAGTATTGATGGAGGGCCTACTTTGCCCCTTTAAATGTTGGGAATATAACAGTGAAGAAAACAGGAAAAATCTTTGCTATTGGGTATTTACATTATGGTATAGATAGTAAGGCTTGCAATTAATAATAAAAACAAATTAGTTAAGCATTATATCTCTCCATATATATCATACAGTATTGAAATAAATGTATATGAGAAGTACATATACATTTGAAATATACATATATCTCAAATATATATATATGATATACTGTGTGTACCCATATATCTCATTTTGTTAAAGGGTGAAAGTTATGAAAAAAGGAAATAGAAGAGGTGAATAAAGGGAGACGAAAATGGAATAGTAGAGGCTGTCATTAAACATGTAGTTGTTAGATCCTGCTGGCAGGATTTTCCAGAAGAAAAAAATAAATCAACAGAATCTACAGAGACATACAGAAGAGACTTATTTTGAGGGGTTGGTTTACATGATTATGGAGGCTCTGACATCCCACAGTCTGTTATTTGCAAGCTAGACAAACAGGAAAGCTGTGGTGTGGCACTAGCTCAACCCTTAAGGCCTGAGAAAAAAAGGTGCTGAGGTCCAAGAGCAGGAAAAGCTGGACATTCCAGTTTAAGCAGAGAGAATATTCTCCCATTCTTCCATCCTCCACTTGACTTTCTATGTATACACCAAACAGATTGGATGATGGCATGCACACTGGAAAGACCAGAGCTCTTTTACTGACTCTAATACAAATGCTAACTTCTATGAGAGACATACCCACAGACACAACCAAAGTCTTTCCCAGCCATCTAGGTATCCCTAGGCTCAGTCAAATTGACAGAGTTAACTCCCCTGGTGCCATTTGAGCAAAGACTGCAGTGAACTGTTTTGAAGGTGTTATTTTAGATGGTAGTAGCCTCAGGTGGAGGAAAACCATGCACAGAGCTTTGGTTGGAGTTTGCAATCCAGGAGGCTTCATTTGGAGGCACTGAAGCAGAGCTGGGCAGAGCATTTGTGAGAGAAGGTGAGCCCAGACTTCTGCCTTTAATGCACACTTGGACCACTTGGCCTCTGAGGTCTCTTGATGCCCTGAGCTTTTTATTTTTCTGATAGTTGGAAACAGTTTATTTGAAAGCAGTGAGCAAGACAGATCCAAGAGCAGAGATGCCCAGAATGTGTTCACCAAAATTCAAATGTCAGGTATTGGTACAAAGCTTTAGACTTGGGGTAAAAAGAGAATATAAACAAAAGAAAACTTGAATCTTTGATGACAACTGTTCATCATTTGTTTTGATATGACAGAGAATCAAAAGGAAAGAACAATCAAAGGTTACTCTGTAGTTGAGGTGTCAGGAGGCTAGGTCACACTGACTTCCCTCTTCCCTAAATGACAATCACACTGATCTGATGTTATCCATTGACTGATTGTCTGTAGCCAAATACTGATCACTTCTTCCATCTTTTTATTATACATAGTGGCATAGCACTTGGAAACTTAGAATACAGCTGTAGAGTGAAAACATAGGCCAATGCAAACTTTCTCAATTATTTTGCAGCAATAATATTGTTACAGTCATGAAGCTTTTGAGCAAAGGCTCGGAACTAACAAATGTTAGTAAATACAAAGACACAGACAAAACTTTTTTTTGCTGTATGACTCATCATATCTCCTTGCTACAGGTGCCTTCATTTGCAAGATGGTTCCTTTTGTCCAATCTACTGCTATTGTGACAGAAATTCTCACAATGACCTGCATTGCTGTGGAAAGGCACCAGGGGCTCGTTC